TCAGTTTTGCAGACAGCTTGTAGAATACACTTATTGAGATGTGATAAGTAACCTGCCTTTCTTGTCCTCTGCCTCAGCAAAAAGAAGAAACAAAGCCCATGAAGTGCCTGCATAACATCTGCACGTGTTGAGTGGGAAGCTGCTCCTTTGCCAACACTCCTCTCTGTTAGTCTTACAGGGAAACAGACACAAGCACCATTGTCAGAGAGGAGCTACATGATGCATATGCATTGATAACAGGGACTTGGAGTGATGAAATGACTTTTCAGTGGCAGCAGTGCACTTGTCTTCCCTTCTATGTGTACACAGCATCCAGCCCTGGAGTAGATGAAAGCAGTGATATTGCAGTCCACGGTATTAGCACCCAGGTGGAACAGAAGTTGTAAATCCAGCTAGCAATGTGTGCAGGATTGACTTTTGATGTTGCTTAGTACAAAAGGAGGCCTTTTGCACTTTCAGTCAGTTCTGCCACCAGCTGGGAAGGATCATTTGCTTCAATTCAGGCTTGCTGAGACCGGTGTTGTATCTGGCACAAAAATGTGAAAGAATTGGAAAAACAACTAATGTCTTTCAAGCCACAGGGAAAAAAAAAAGGCACCCAAGGATTCACAGATGACTTTGGCTCCTTTATGGGGTTGCTCTGAGATGATTTGCTCTGTGAGTGAAGGCCTGATTTGCTGGTAGCATAGGTCATCAGTCCATATTCTCTGATGTGGGCATCAAAGCCACAAAATACACCTGTTTGTGCAAAACAAGTGAAAAACAACAAACAACCAATCTGCATTTAAAAAAAAGTCCTGAAAAATACCTTGGCATAAGGCAGATGTTATGACCTGTGAAGAGGCTTTGTCTTCCATGCTGGTCAGTCATGTAGCCTTGGCATTTAAGTTTTTAAGTCTTTTGAGTTTTTAAAAGACAGAAAAACTTTAGGTATTTTAAGTTTCATTTACTCGATGCTTGGAGCATATTTCATTTAAGAGAGATTGTACTGCAGGATTTGTGATTCTCTTTCAATGCATGTCGGCCCTGCAGTAAGCACATTCAGAATCATTCCTGGCTAAATTATTTTGCAGACCCTTTTTCCATCCTTAGCTAGTACTTTACCACCATCAGGCAGCTCTTTTGCTTGAGTAATTACATTTCTGTGGAATTCTCCTTGTCAGGAATACAAGTTGCTAAAACTTGTATGGTAGAGTTCACACAGATTTACTGTGAAAATGGGCAGGTGAAAATTGTACAGTAAGATTTAGTAATAAAAGTCATTGCCAGCGGTTGTGTCTTATCAGCTGAGAGTTTGCAACAAGCCTGCCTGATTGACAGGGCAGGGAGAAAAGCTAAAGCAGAGACTTCTGCTGGAATCTGCAGCTTAACTGTAACAAGGTGACCCCAGCAGAGCAGAAGACTCAGGGATGTCTATAAACAAGCTTTTCTGCTTTCTTTCCTTGTTTTTTCAAACACTTTCTTAACTGTTGATTCATTAGAAATCTCGCTAATAGTCTTCTCTGTTTCTCAGCAAATTATTTTATTAAGTAAAAATGCATCTGAAATCTCTATCTGATTTAAGCAGAATCCATCTATAAATGAAAAAATATTAGGATACCATTCATTCTAGGAGGTTTAATGTTGTTAATTAAATGGTGCAAGGGGAATATTTCTAATAAGAACACTTAGTAGGGGAACTACTTGGGGTCGTGCAGAATAGCAGTAATGATGTGCAGAAGTTTGGGCCTTACACAAGATGGATTGTTGGAGTTCCAAATGGCCTGCTAGTTCCTTCTGCCTGGAGCCATGACTCAGTGTGATACTGCATGGCTTGAAGCCAGCCCCAAAATCAGTACCTGCAAAAGGGCACTTTCCATGCTCAGTGCCTGTTTCTCCACATATTCAAGGGTACATTTAGGAATCAGGGAAATCAGCCTCATTTTTAGGATCACAGCACTTGGAGGGAAATGCAGTGAGACATGCTGTGTTCTTTTCTGGATGGGAATTGGTTGGAGTTCCCTGAAAACCAGGTTGCTTCCGTAGTTGTGTCTTAACATAGCAGGAGAGAGGAAACCTCCCTTACTTTCCTTGTGGAGTCTCATTTGGGGAGGTGAAGTGGTTCTGCAAGAAAGCCACTGTTACCTTTCTGACTGTGTCCTGCTGCCAGAGTCACAAAGGAGTAATGAGAGTTACAAACCAGAAGCTGCTTCAGAGAAGTACAGAAGAGTGAGCTGGCCTTACCAGCTTGAGGAGTAGAAGAAGAGGGAGTGAGAGTTTGAGTTTGGATGGGACTTCAAAGGGTCAAGCCCCAAACTCTTTCCACCCCAGAACAGATCAGCTCAATCCATATGCACATCATTCTGCTACTGAGATAAAAATTAGTTATTCTATGAGAAACAGTTGCTTATGCCACCCTCTAGTCAGTGATGGATTTGCACATGAGATTAACTATGGGGTTTTTCAGGTGTGGCCAGTCCCAGACTTCGAGCTGAAAATCCAAATTTACTCTAAATTTTGCTGTTGATGGTATTAGTTTATTCTGCTGGTTTCCCTGGTGGCAAAGCTAGGAAATAGATCTGCCCAGGCATGTTCAGATCATACAGGCTGTCATAGTAAAGGCTCCTGATGCTTTATATTGGGTTTGTTTATTACAGAAGCTGTGTACCAACAGCTGGGGGTTTTAGATTTTCCTATTTGTGTAGAAAACTTTTGTTTCTTCAGACCAGACGTATTACCTCAGGATATTTACTCTGCATGTATAGAAATCTTAGGCTCACCTTAGAATATTCTCATTTCTCAGGGCTTGTTTTTTAAGTAAAAATCTACTAGTTTGAGAAAAAGCACACTGTGTAATATATTTTGCCTGTAACACTTAAGGCCCAGCATGGTGAGCCAGGAAAAGGGCAAATACTGTCAATGCTGATAGGCCACATCTATCCTTTTCCTTTTACACATTGCAACAATGTCTTTTTCCATTAAAATCAAACATGGACTGAGCAGCCACATGCTAGGATTCACCAAATGGTATTTAAAAAGATGTGTATTGTGACTCCAAGGCAAGTGGCACAAAAGCCCTCACACCACGCAGGCATTCAGCATGTTTGGAGAAACTGAGGTGAATGTAGCCACAGGCTCCAGTTTTCCACTCCACCCGTGGAGTGAGGCTGGGTGAGCTTGTAGTGGAATTAAATGTCTGCCTAGGAGTGTTTCTGACTCTTTGTTAGGTAGAAGTTTAGAAATTTTTCTGATGGTGGTCAGTGTTGTGGGATGTGCAGAGAACTGTGAATATCCACCCCTTCTTCTCTCTTGTATGTTTGATCTGGTTGTATAATCTGTCAGCATCAGCACGTGTTCAGTGGCCAGCTGTGGTGCCAGAGTTCATCATGAATGTGGAGATAATTAAAGAGTCTGGAAAACATTTTCAGGATAAACACTTTCCATTTTTATCTTTTGCTATTTGAGAAACAGAGACTCAAGTGCAGCCTTTAAATCTTTTCTTGCTGTATCCTAATGTTTCAAAAGGACTTGTAATTTTGGATCTTGACTTGGAAACAATTTAAAGGCGGCTGATTTTCCATGGCTGGGAGTGCTGTGCTTCCTGACTAATCAGGCTCTTTAGACATGTCTTAAATTGGGCACCAAAATACTGGATAGACAAGAGCAAGCAGTTGACTTAGGACAGCTCTGTGGGGATTTAGGCAAAGACACTTTAACACGCAGCTCTGATCCGCTCTGAGTGTGCACACAGCAAGTTAACGCTCCTGAGCAGACAAGAGGTAACTGGTTAAGGCACAGTAAGTCAATCATGTGAAACCATTAGCCCATGCTCAACCAAGTGATGTGCTCCAAATGATTAGCCCCTCTGAATATTGTAGGCCTGTTATATTTCAACGTCAAGAGAGTCTCCTGCTGACACTGAGAATGGTTGACATAATAAAATCTTTCTTTCAAATACAGTAAAATTCATTTGGGCTTTCCATTCTTGATCCAAGTCCTAGTAGGAGTCTCCATTGACATTAAATGTAATCTGTCCTCACATCTAAGTTGCTGATTCTACAGCTGCTCTGTAACCTAGACGACCTCTGTGGGGTAAAATAGGCAGAGAAAAGTGGGTGCAGGAGCTGTATTTTCATACCAAGGGAATGGGCATGTTTCTCATGAATTTCCTGTCTTGTTTGAGGTTTTTCTGGGGGGTTTTGTTGTGTTTTTTTTTTTTTGTCTTCTGCAGTCAGACGACCATCTGTCCTGGCAGTGTAAGCACAGTCCTGGACTACCTAATACAGTTAGAGCTGTAGCCAAACTAAATCCCATCTAAATGCTGAATTCTCGAAGAGAAAAGAAACCTGATTAGTTTCCAAGTTTTAATTTCTTTCTTTTGGAAGTATTATTGCAGAGCTGAAAGGAAGAGGTTCTTTAGTCTATTGCTTAAATAATGCTTTGAAGTTTGGTCCTTTGCCAAATGCCTGTTGACAGTAACAGCAGTGTTGGTGCTCACTGGTATCATGTATTTCTAGAGAATCTTTAAAAACTCTCTGAGCAGCTTACCACGACTTCATTAACATTTGATTTCTATCTAAATGAGGAAGAAGTTATTCCTGTGTCTTTTTTATGGTGGGAGCAGTAGTTCAGTGATTTACCTGCCCTATAGAGACGAATCCCCAGTCCTGGTAGAGATCCCAGGAGTCTAACAGAGAGGTCATCTCTTTCTTTTTGACAACCAGTTTGACATCACCTTATGTTGCCACCATTTCCATACCTTCTCATTGTTCACGTAGTATCTTTCTTCTGGGAAAAATTAAACAATAGATAACCTCAGGGTTTCATTTCACAGCTATTTCATGTAGATGGAAATCAACATCACTCTTTTTCCTACCTTATAGTTATTCCTTCTTTTTTTTCCTTCCAATTTTAAACGAGGAGCTTTATCTGAGGTGTTGAGATTTCTTGTATTCTTATATTCTTATATTCTCTCACTAGTAGCTATGACATAGTCTCTAACCTTTTCTTTTTGTCTTCAGGAAACCCACTGACTGTGGCCTGCAAAGCTTTCTTTGGATTCAGTGGAGAATCAGGCCCCATGATCTACTGGATGAAAGGGGAGAAATTCATAGAAGAATTAGAAGGTCACATTAGAGAAGGAGAAGTCAGGTACTTTTTAGATTATGTACTGTTAAACTTATTGTTTGCCCCAAAAGCCTGTTGGGTTTTCTTAACAGGTTTTTAATTGAAAGTGAAAATGTTTTTCTGCCTGAAGAGTGATTAATGACTTGGAGCCAGGGCTCTGTGATTTGCTCCCTCCCCTTTCTAAACTCTAAAGACATAGAAGATAAAGACATAGCTATCTAAGGGCCTGAAAATCTGTTATCAAATTCCCCTGGTGGGTGGTAGCTGAAGGGTCTCTCGAGTGTTCCAGGGGTTGATTTTAGCCCTGCATGAAAATGGTGCTGCCCAGTGCAGCTGTCCCATGTGGCAGTCCTTGGCAAGATGACATTCATTTCAGCAGCAGTGTTCATCTTGAAGATGAATGGTCTCCTGTCAAAGCCACCATACTTTTTCTCTTCTACTGCACGTGCTGTCTGTCTGTGATGCAGCTCTCAGTGTGCCTTAACCAGGACTTTCAAAGAGCAGCATTTGTTCCTCCAGGCTTAACACTTAAGGGAGAGAAAGGAGTGGCTGTGTCTGATATCCAGCTTGTGCTTGGCTTGTTCCAGGTGCTGGTTATCATTTACTGTACCAGTTGTAAAGAAAACACTCACTTGTATCCCCATGAACTTCCATGGAATTTGCACTTAACAGCATCATCTTCTCTTCTTTAATAATTACCTGATTATTGTTCTTTTAGCAAAGACTAAACTATGGTTAAACTATGGGAAAGGGGGTCCCAGCTCCAATAGACACAATGAATATAGATTATAAAGAAAGCCTAGGTCTTTTCACCTTCCATTGCACATTTTTTTGATCTCATATCTGAGTTGTTTGTTTCTTGTAAAGGTAATTTTGGAGAGCAGGCAGAGAGAGGTTCCTTTGCTTTATTACTTGATCAATAATTTGAAGTTCAGCCATTTAGCCACTGGTTATTAAGATATACTAAAATAACTGACCTAACATTGCACCTTAATTGCACAAAGATTAAATTTATTTTATATTGCCAGTGTACAGTCCTCTTTTGGGCTTCTGACCACAAAAAGCAATTATTGGAAACTTCTGCTATTGTAAGTAACCAGCACTTAATGACATTGTGTCCTCTCTGGTGTGGGTATATATATATGAACAGAGTGATTTTGGTCATGTTCTTCCTCTGCATCAGAAGAACAATTTGAGTTTTGTATCTAAAGAGCATTCCAGCTTTAGCACAGTTCAAAACTTTTCCTTCATGTGCTTTTATTAGTGAAACTGAGTTTGAAAAAGCTGTTATTTGTCCTTCATTGTGCCATCTCATTACACATTCATGTTTCAAATTAATATGTGACAACTCCCTCTTCTCATTCCATTAAAATGCTTTGACTCAGTTTGCAGACCCCTCACAATTCAGTGAATCTTCTCCTCAGCAAATCTACTTATCACGTACCTAATCTCCTGTGATCACAGCCAGCATTAAAAAGAGCATTTAGCAAAACCTACTGCATCATTACCAGCAGTGCCACAGCCCTTCCCTTTTTTGATTTAGAAGTAGCTGTGGCAACTGAAGTGGTAACTTTTTGCAAATGATTCTTTCTCAGTAAGAGCTCTTGTTTATGTGTCCCATTACAGGTGTGCTGCTTTAGGGAAACTAAGCAGCACTAATCATTCTGACAGTGCTCTGAGCCAGCCCACACCTTCCACCCGGTCGTATTTATTGTTGTACTTAAAAAATTGTCAAGTATGTGTCAAATTTGATGAGCCACGTTGAACTTGCTGGTTAAATGCCTTTTCCATTAATTTGCTTCTCTGTGGTGTTACCAGCATGTTTCTGTTTGTGTTGAGAAACTAAAAGTAGTAGGGAATTGTTACAACCAGACCGAGATACTCCAGCTTTCATTTGGAGAGCTTCTAACATTTTAACCCTGCATCCCCCATCTTAAATCAGTTCACAAACTTAGTAGCATTCTGAATTTTTGGTGCTGTCCCTACCCTGGACCATGCCTGTCTGTTGTGTTGCTGGGTTTTCTGTGTATGATGAGAGTTCAGGTTTGCAAATCAATGCAGTGTGGGAGTACAAACCCCCCATCCCTAGTTTGCATCCTCCAGTGTGCATGGTTAGCAGCCACTGCTGTTATGAAAGCACTGAAACAAGGGTGCACTTAACTTGAGCATTCCTGTTCAAATCAAACCTATGGAACTGGGTTTTTTTTTATAACTACACTTCACTATGAATAATATTTGTGTAGTTCTGGACTTCTTGTCATTTATTAGACCTTGTTCCAAAGCCTCATAATAAAAAGCAACTAATCAGCATTGCAGGACTCAGAGGCAATGACCCTCTCCCTAAGCTGCTTCCTTGCCTTCCCTTGAATTAAGATCCCCAGGTGTTAGACATGCGTGGGGGGAAAGGAAAAAGAGGCTTTGCTTGCCAGGTGGGCTTTTCACAGCGGTAATAAAAATGTCATGTAAATTGAACCAGGGCTATTAAAGAAGGAATCAGAGTCTTTAAGCCTGTCTTCAGTGTTGTCAGTTGTACCTAATTATCAAAGGAGCCCACAGCAAATTTCAACACCATCTCTCTGCCATGGCAAAGTATTTTCAGACATAAATCTTACTCTCCCAGCCACCTATGAGTTGCTTCTTTTTCTTCTTCAGGCAACACTGCCAAACAGTTTGCAGTTGCCTCATAATGCACATCTTATAAAGTATGTTTGTCCTTGTTTTTTCTGTCTTGTCCATTTCTAGAGTAGTAATAGTTTAACTCCTTCTAGTGGCATGAAAAGAGGTGAATGAAGACATTTTGAATGGCAGCTTTATTTCTTCAGATTAATTTATCACCCACAGAAGTAAACTGATGGTTACAAAATGCTCAGACAAGATGAGGTTATGTTGTGTTTTGTTAGGAGGGGGTGCTGAGGGCGGGAGACAGAATTCCCACCACTGCCTGGCCAGTGTGCTGGGTACTTGGCAGAGAAGTATGGAAATTACAGACCTCTCCTGAAAAGCTTATACTGCTTAAGTAGACAATTTCTGGGCAAAGAATAAGAAACATGATGCAGGAAAGTGAAAGGGAAGATCATTGTGCCATGTTGCCAGTTGAACTGCTTTGCTTTGGAGAGGTACTTATGTACTCACAGGTCTGTCCTTTCATCTACAGCCTATTGTTAAGGAGTAGAAGGAAGGCAGTAGAGTTCATAGCCCTGTTCACTGTCCACATCCTCAGCTATATAAGGAATGAAAATATCCTTTCTGCTAAGTCCCATCTCACATGCAGGTTAGTAAAGGTTTGGAAGTAATGCCTTGGTCTTGCAAAGAGACCCAGGTGAGGCTTTCTTAGGGCCTTTACATCTTTGATCATACACAGCCTAAAAATTTTAGGAAAATATGGTCTCAAAGGAAAAGTCTTTTAACTTCAGATTCAACTTAGTGCACACATGCATTGGAAAAAATATGACAAAAGATTTGAAAATCCAAACTGTTGGATCATTTTCAAAGAAAACATTTGTATTCTGAAATGGCACTTCCTTTTTTTAAAAATTCATATTCTTAACTGAAAAATATTCACTAGACAAAATGTTTTGATTCAGCTCAAATAAAATGCTTCAGCTTGAAGAAAAAGAAGGCACTGTATTGTTTTTACTTCACCCACCTTTTCTTTCTCTCTTTCTATCCTGTTTGTTGTGAGTTGTCAAGTGCCATTGATTTAGCAATGTATTAAATGATGTAATTACTCTTAGTTTGTTCAGCAAACCAGAAAAAGCAAGCTATTATTTTCTCAACTTGTGAGAGCTGGCATGTGTTGACAGTGTCGCTGGTGAAGTTTCCCCCATTTCAGACAGGGACAGAGCTTCATCTTCGGGGTGTGCAGAAAATGCTGTTGGACCTGTAAGGTCTTACTTGTTACTCTGTTCCTTTTCTAAACCAAAAATACTGTGCTCAGTGTTCTCTGAACCAACCACAAAATGCAATTAATTAAAGGCTGTACACATATTGAAAAAATGTAGGTGACCAGCTGTGTATTTCCAGGCAATAATGAATCATTAGCTGTAGAGTACTGGTTAAAAGAAAAAAGAAGAAAAACAAAAAAGCAGGAATGAAAGGTTCAACACCACCAAGAGCATTCTATGCTTTACTGCCAGCATAATGCTTAAATGTTTGTCAGCATTTTCATGATAGATCCCGTTCTAAAGAGTTCCCTTAGAAGTAAGATAAGTGGAAAAAATTCTCTGTTCAAATGCATATTCTTTGTTTTATGAAAGCTCCTTTTTAGCTGCTCATGCATTATTTAAATTTAGGTTAAAGGTCAGTTATTTTAAATAAATATAGTTTGGATATAGTTCAAATTAACAGTTTCTTTTATTTTAATTGTAATCTGTCTTCATTTTTTTCTGTGTAAAATATCCTGATTATAGGATAAATACAAGACAATCGGAGCATTGACAAAGTGCTCCAGATTAGTGTCCCAGATATCATCTCTGTCAAGGATTATATAGTTCCTTGTGGCAGGATTTGTAGGCCAAAATTTGTCAGGCGTATTGTTTACCAGCAGAGGAGAAAGACTTTCCTGAGTCTTTTTATAGATAGCAGATTAATAAGTAGATGAGAATTGATTTATCTGACTCCCAATTATTTAGGCTGAGTCTGCAAACAGACCAGGCTTTCCAAGGAGGTTTCTTTTCTGACCAGAAATGATGCAAATTCAACTTTTCTTCAATAATTTCACCACTTGGACTCTGGACTAGAATTAAAAAAATTAAAAAAAAAAATGAAAAAAAGAACACAAAAAACCCATAATAAATGAGAGTTAATTTGCAAAAAAAGATGAAATCTAAGTTTCCAAATGCAACACACACACACATGTTTTTAAACTAATGATTTTCCCCTTGCTTTTTTGCAAGTTACACAGCCACAGTGAAAGAGGCTGAATCGTTGTGGATGCTCTGGTACATCTTCTGAGTTCTGTCAGATCCCACATGCCTTTAGAGGCTGTGTGCTGTATGAAATCTTACTGTAAAGATGTGGTTTATAGCAGTCAGCATTCTATTTTTCATTGTCTAGTGCAATTCTCTCATACTTCTGATTTGTTTTCAAATTCGGAGTGTTATGTGAACTCACATACATGAGAAAATGTGTGTGTGCATCGGAAACTCCAAAACTCTCTGTTATGGTTTATAATAGAGAAGTTTGGGGTTTGCTCTTTACTGACAAATGTTAAGGTCTCCAGCAGCAGTTTCTACCCAGAGCGGGCAGCGCTCCCATTAGTTACTTCCTGCCCAGTTGCCTCCCTTTGGTCTCTGAAGAAAATATTTCATCTTTGGGGAACCTGGATTTTATTTATACCTTTACCTCACAGTGCCGTAAACAGCCTTTTCAGAGAAAAGACTCACTGAAGTGCAATGTGCAGTGGTGAGTTCACAGGTGTCTGCCAGGGCACCCCACATTTTGTGTTTACCCCCTCCACGTTAAGCAGCAGTACACAAACAGGATCAAATGAACCTGGTAGATTTTACTTGACATTACATTTCCTTTATCAAAGGAGCAGCAACTTTTCCTTGAACAAGTGATAAGCCTTTTGAGAGAATAGGGTATTGTATTTTTAGACTTGATGTCAGCAGCAGAAAATACTTGCATTTACTTTGCATTCTTTTTAATGTTCACACGAGAACAATGACATGAAAAGACTGTACCTCTGGCCTGAAAGTCTGCTAGAACTTTCTATTCCCTTTGTGGGGATTTTGCATGTCTCCTCTGTCCTCTCAGAGGAGCAGAGAGCTCTTGTTCTTGACACTATTCCCTTTTAAAGTCAGGATCTAGCCCCAGAAAATAGAGGAAAGTTACAGGGAGTAGCACAGCTCCTTTTGTTAGGTTTCCAGACTGCATTAAAATGTATTACAATACCCAGCCTTTAAAATACTGCCTTATAATTTGTTCTGTGATGGCTTCGTAGCACATATTTGCTTCTGGAAAATGGATATTCACTGCTTCTTTTAAAAGAAGCATTGTTTTTAGCATTTAATTCTGATGGAGCCAATGTAAACAATCCATGTGCAACCATTGCACTCATGGCCACTCTTCCTTTACTTGGTTTAGCTCCTCACTAGACATGGAAGGAGAAAGAGGCTTTTGGTGACCATGAAAGATGCCTCTGAGAAGTCTTTCAGGCAGCATGAGTCTCCTTCTAAATCCTTCTCCCGGAGTGAAGGAGCCCAAGGGACACTGTCTGCCTTGTGCTGAGAAATAATGGTTCTTTTCAAAGTCTTCCACCCATATTAATTCAGCTAAAGCAAAGGCTGTATCCTTCCTTTCAGACTCCTCAGAGAACACCTTGGAGAAAAAGAAGTTGAGTTGACATTGATCTTTGATGCTGTAGGGGAGGCAGACCTGGCTAACTACACGTGTCACGTGGAAAACAGAAATGGACGGAAACACGCCAGTGTCCTTCTGCGCAAGAAAGGTAATTCTCTCCACTTCATTATCTGTGCTCTCGCCCCTCGCAGCAGCAACAGGTCAGCCAGAGGTCCTGCTGACCTCTCTGAGCCAGGCTGGACTCCTGTGTGCCTGCTTGGAGCTGAAGTAGGCTTGTGTACAGCTTCAGTTTACCACTTGTGAAAAAAAAGAAAATAAAAATCATTAATTGTTCTTTAGTGTCTAGCTATTCAGCCTTGAAGGTGATGCACTTGCTTGGAATACAGTCACTCATAAAGCACCAATATGATCAGTGCGAAGTATTTTGGTCTAAACAACCTATGAATTTGACCCAGAGTTGACTGACTAGGCCAGCAGTAATTGTGTGATAGAGTTAAAATGTGGATTTCTTAGAACGGGTACCTTGGCAGTGAGGTCAGATGTTCTCGTATTTCTCCACTTCCCGGCTTTATGTTTTAAATGGAAAACTTTAAACTGTCACCATGCATTTAGATTTGTAACTGCATTGAGAATGAAAAACATTGCAATAGGAGCTACAAATTGATGGAGAATTACCCCATCGTGGTTGTCTTGCTTGATACTGCTCCTGAATTGGGAATACAACTACAGACAAGATATCGTAGCAGAAAGGAAACCATTTGGATTTGAATGTGCCAAATTAAAAGGTGCTACTATGTACTGCTGTTTGGAGAAGTCATTATCGTAAAGAGTTTAACAGTTCCTCATTACAGTTATGTTGTTTGTTCAATCACCTCTCCTATTCATAAGTAGGGTGGCATTTAAATTTGATGGTGATCTCTCTAAGATACAGTATATCAGGCAATACAAAAGCTATAAGAAAAGCAAAGGAAGGTTACACACTCGGGAGAAAGCTGTTATGTGAAACTACAGAGCCATCATCACGGGAGATTGACTAAAGAGTTAATACATTGTCCAGATTTCTGCCATCATTCCTGGCTGTAAATTATTTTGCCAAAAGCAGAGAAGAAGAAATGTTTTCATGAGGCAAACCTGAAGGTGCAGCTCCAGTCCTTTGTGTGTTTTCACTACGGCAAAGCATGTGCTTCTCAGCAGGTTCTGGGTTACAGTGTTAATTGAAAAAGCCAGTGCTCTCCATGGTCACAGATGCAGCAAAATCCCATAGAAGTGTCACCATTTGGAGAAGGTTCAAATACACTGTTAGTACCTGAGCATGCTGCAGATTGACTTTGGAGCCTAAGGTAGACATCACCATGGGACAAATGAACTAAGAGTCAGGTGGAAGAATAAGAAGAGCAGCCAAGGCCTCTCTAGATGGGGCATCACAGTTCTGGAAAACATCCCTAGTCATCAGTTCCCCCTGAAGGCATGCTGGGTGCTAAGCACTGTGTTTGATGGCTATAATCTGTATCAAATGAAAGGTGAGGGAGGTGGGGTATTGAGACAAAAAAGGGCTACAAGGGAGAGGAAACTTTTGGGTCAATGTCCTCTTTTTTTGCTATTCTTTCATGTGACCCACAGGTTTTATGTGTGGAAGTAGAGTATGCAGTCCTGTCAGAGTCAGCTGACAACACCAAGTTGGGCAGGAATGTTGATCCAGCAGATCATTTTACTCTCTACTACACACATACATGCATACATACAGGAGGGTAGAAAGGCTCTGCAGAGGGATCTGGACTGGCTGAATCAATGGGATGAGGGCAATTATATGAGGTTCAACAAGGCAAAGTGCCAGGTCCTGCCCTTAGGTCACAACAACCCCCTGCAGCACTGCAGGCTGGGGCAGAGTCACTGGAAAGCTGCCTGGGGAAAAAGGACTTGGGAGTGCTGGAGTCACCATCCCTGAAGGGATTTAAAAGTCATGGAGATGTGGCACTTGGGGACATGGTTTAGTGGTGGGCTTGGCAGTGCTGGGTTAACAGCTGGGCTCAGTCATCTTAGAGGTCTTTTCCAACCAAAACGATTCTATGATTCTATGATCTAAAGTGACAGGTTGTCACAACTTTAATTAAGGAGTCTGGTCATCATGATGAAGGATTAGCCTCTTTAGTGCAAAAAGCATTCTACCTTTCCTTCTACTGAACCTCATAAATATACAACTGATAGTTAGTGTATCTATGTTGGCACTGTTAAATGTTCTTCTGTGTGCATATATTAGAATAACAAGCTAGGTTTATTTATAACAAAAAAATGCAGATATTTCAGAGCTCTGCTGAAATTATGGAAGAAGCACTGCTGAATACAGAATTTGGAGGTGGAAAGGATCACTTTGCAGCTACTATTTCATTTCTCTCTGCACTGTGGCTGTAAAAAACTTATATTCCCCTCAGGCATTCTCAATAGTTGATTTTCAAGCTATTAAAGTGTCATTTAAAATAACCACTGTATTTTACTGTGTCCTTTGACTGCCTGTCCCATTGTCCTGTTTGTTATTTTTTAAGTTCTTACAAATACTTGACCAAACTTTTCCTTTCTGCAACTTGATTTAATTACTTCTTATCCTAGCTTTCTCCAACTTGGATTTGACTGTATTCATGAGCCAGGAAATACTACTGTACTTACTGACCTGGGACAAGATTTAGAGCAGGACTGGTAGAAAGCTGTTGACCAACACCCCTTTTGCTGTGTTAGTGGTATGGTCCTCACGAATCCTCAGGAGAATACAGGAGTGCTGTCTGCATAGCACCAGGGTACCAATAGCCCCAGAGTACGTGTCATCATTTATGATTATTTTCATTGGGCTTTTTTGACTGAAAAAGAACAAAATCCAGTTATAAACACCCAAAGTTACCAATGCAAAGACAGAATCAGTCATGCTTAGACCTGAATACCACTGTCTGCTGTCACATTCTTCTTTACTGACTTAATTCAAGACTGCATTGTTACTTCTTTCTAGTAGTTCAGGAATAAGTTCTGGGCAACCCTGGGTTTGGTTTGCTTTTATTTTTTGTTTCTGTATGCTGTCCTAGCATATTTGATGCTCAAATTACATGGAAATGCAATATACACCCACTTGTCCCTTAGTTGTGGGAATGGTTCAGGATTCCCTTCAAAAGAATTTGAAAACAGTCCAGTATTTTAGTGGTTGAAGTCTACATAGCCTATAATATAACTGTACTGGAAGATGAAAAGTTTGTCAGGAACTGCAGAATAAAATCAAGCCAGGCTATTAGTGGAAAGAAGCAGTGAATTGAGATAAAAGTAAATATTATGACTTTTGTTCATGATTTATTTCAAGGAGGCTGCCTTTAATCAAGACATGCAGGGAACTAATTTTGGGGTTTTTTCGATACTGATGTAATACTAAATTATGAGGAACTTCTAAAATATATTTGTCTCTCATTTATTGGGTGTTAGGAGACTTTTGCTATTTTAAAGACCATAATCCTCTATAACATGTTGTGGGAAGGTCCTTCTACATTATTTTACAGAATATTATTATTTGCTATTTTTCAGTCACTGTTATAGCAGAAAGGCCAGATTCTCCTCCTTTCTTAATGTTGGAAATGCTGCCTTCCTTATTGACCTCAATGAGGACCACTTGAGGAGGAAAGAGTTAATCAGAGGCTGAGTCTAAGCTACAGTAGGCAAGAAAACTGAACATTCTGGGTTTTTCTCTTTGTCTCCACCTTGAAATGGAATTAAGGAGCTCAAAAGCCTTGTTTTCTTCCTCTTTATGTGTGGACTCTAGAAGAGTTTATGGTGCAGAAGGACAACTACAGGACATGTGAAAGCAGATCAGTTTTGCCTTTTGAGCTGGATTTTGTGGTTTTACTCAATATCCTGCCGTTCCCCCCAAAAGTGGACACAAGTCAGAGCTCCTATGTCGGCTGCAAGGCTCAGCATTTTCTCTCCTTCCAAGCTGGCAGCTTTGCCATCATCTCAGTTTCCTAGCAAAGAAGATTCAGTGCAACAAAAAAATATTTTTTCCCCAAAAAGTGACTTTAACCAACTCTGTTCTCCATTTGCCCAGATTTATCCCCAGAGCATATGCTAAGCTTTATCATGCAGTGTAATAAAAGTCCCATGAATTCCCTGTGTTCTCACAGAGATTAAATAGCTATTATAGTAGAGTTTTTCCATCTATTAGTCCATGACTTCTTGCCAACCAGACATCAGAGATACTGTAAACTGGGAATAGCTTGACATCTGATGTTAATTATTGAAATACGAGGCTTGGCGAGGCAAGAATAACCTCAAAAGATACACAACTAATTTGCTTTTTATCTCGAAAATGACACAAATGACATACGAGTAATTTTTTCTGACCTAAGTTTTAGAAGCGTAAAGATCACAAAAACTTTGTCTCGCCTGTATTAGTTTTGCAACTTCTCGTTGTATTTATCACAGCAGCAAATATCTTCATGACGTCTTATCTGAACTAATATAGAATGCTACAGTCAAATTGTCATCCTCTGTCTTTTATGGCTAAATAATATGCCAGGCAGTGTTAGGAGCAGTATTACATTCAGAGGACATTTCAGGCTAAAAAGCAATGCTGTTCAAGTTAATGTCTTACATCAAATGGAGCTCTGGACTGGTAATCAAGGGGTTTTATCCCATTCTGTCATTGGTTTGCTGAGTGACCTTGAACATGTTGCTTCTCTTTTCTATGCCTCTGTTTCCCTAGCTGTAAAAGTTGGATCACTGTCTTTGGATGAATTTGTGAATCACTGCTTGTGATGTTTCCTAATAAAAGCATCCCAGTAGGAAATTTTAACTAGCACTAGTTCCCATTAAAGTATAATGTGTACTCCACAAGCATGTGAGAACTTTGTTAGTAGCCATCACAATTCAAATGAAGTGGCTCTTGGCAGCCTGATGTGTACTCCTGGCTTCTCATGTTATCTTGGGCTTTCTGGATGCTCCATTCATTTTCCAGTGATCCAGCTGAAGCCCTGACTTGGCAGCTCACATCACCTTGTCCACAGGCTTCACAAATACAAAACCAAAGTTGTTTAATTTGGGGATGGGGGAATGGGGGACTAGAGCCAGTGAGGTACAATATATCTGGTTCTATATTCCATATATATAGAATATGTCTATTCTCACATGCTGCATACAGCATTTGATGCACTTGGCCAATGCAGAAGGTTCAAACTCCACAAGCTCATTTTGATTAATCCTCTGGGTAAAATCACTACATAATTCCCATATAGAAGAATTACATATATTGTCTCAAATGCATTCCGGATTTCAGATGGTAATTCCAGATGAGTGGTAGATGGAGTAAATAAGTAAAGTTAAATAATAGGCAATGAACAAAAATATTAGGCATTCCTAATGTTACAGTGGTTATAACTGGAAGCTGCAGAATTTTATGTGCAATTGTATGGTGGATTAGAGCAAATAAAGCTTGGAAAGATCATAACCTTGTTGTCTTTCCTTGCTAATTTTAGATTTGATCTACAAAATAGAGCTTGCTGGAGGACTGGGAGCCATCCTTCTTCTGCTTATTTTGCTCGTGACCATCTATAAGTGCTACAACATAGAGTTAATGCTGTTCTACAGACAGAACTTTGGAGGAGATGAAGCAGCTGATGGTAAGCAGTTGCACAGGAAACTCTATATATGCAATGGCAATATTTCAGAGACCCAAAGTGGTGAAGCTTCTAGATTGAAATGAATCCCAAAAGATACCTGCTTTTAGTTCAAGTTCAAACTACTAAGCATCCAATAGTGTAAAGCCCTAAGACTTTCTCCCAAAGCCCCCTGAAATCAATTAGTCTTTTCACAGAAATATCACTGGGTCGTGCCATAAGCAAATGGGAGTCTGAAGAATTGTTCATGAGTCTGTTATAGAGACTTCAGCATCATTTGTGAACTCATTCCTTGGGGAAACTCTTTACATTCATGTCTCCGGTGCCATATCTGCCCAGGATCACTTCTCCTGAGGTCTGTACTTTATGTGGGCAGCCCTTTCACCAGGTATTCCTCGTTAAACATTTTCATTGAATTCCCATCAGGCTGCCAATGAGCTCCTCTGACTAGTGAGAGGTGATTGTTATCAAGGCTAACTAGTTACCTCAGTTAATTGAGAGACTGTACACAACTTAGTGGAAATGTAAAACTTCCCTGGGGAGTATGCTGGGGAATAAACTAGGCTGTTTTCCATTTTTATTTCCTCACCTTCCCTCTCACTAGCTTATATTCTGTTTAGTGCCTAAAGCTAAAGTTGTATTTTTAAATGGCAGCTTTAATTCTGTGAATTAATTTAATTCTCTGAATTCTATTCTGAACATAGAACATTCCTGCTCCTATGAAGCTGGAGTAAGCCCTGTAAACTAAATCCAAATATTTCTAATTAAATCCTATTATTATGTTCTTAACACATATCATAATTAATATGTTATTAATATGCATCTAAGTAGTATCTGCTAAAGATCTGAAGTACAGTGTTGAATACAGGTACTTGCCATAGTCCACTGCAACACTTAATGAGCCACAGAAGCACTCTGGAATGCTACATCTAGAAACTATAATGTGTTTGAAAAAAGAGCAGGGAACACATTACCCATACTGCCAAAACAATGTGTAGTTGCATAGACATGTTCCTTTCTGCAGTTAGTGTTACTGTTATCACAGTAATAAATGTTTCACACTGGGTAGATATGGTGTGAAAATGTTCCACTACAATGAAATCCGTGGGCGTTTTGGAGAATGGATGGAATGACATCTAGGAGATTTTAGAATAGGGAACAATAAATAGCAGGACTAGAGGTCAGGAAACTGGCTCCTTTGCAATCTTCATATGTGACTGGCAAAACATGAAATTATGGGGTTTTTTCATGCTATATGATACTGCATAATATTTATGCTGGTACCTAGGAGAAAGTGAAGGGTGGGATTATTTGGGAAGTACTTTACCTCTAACACTTTAGGATTATAGCAACACGACTTCCCTGGCTCACCCCCACAAAAAGTGATAACTTCCTTCAACCTGCTTTGATTAATTTATCTTGTGTTTTCAGTGTGAAGCTGCTGCATTTTTATTCATGTAACTTTTTTGGTTTGATCACTTTTTAATTTATGAAACAGTATTGTTTTCTGGTTGTTTAGAGGAAGCCCCATGAGTACATAGGGTATTTTGTGTGCATGTTAATTCTGAAAACAACCTTTTATTTTTCCAGTGCATGATTGTAGACCTACTGCAGCTTTGTGTCACATTCTGATCCTGCAGAACAGAAGATGGAGGCAGAATGTTACTGAACTCAAAGCATGTATGGGGATGTTTTTACTGATGCAGGCTATAGTGGGATTGTACAGAGCTCCTATGAGCAGTCAGCTATATTGATGCAATTGCAGGGTCATTTTCCATTTATACATGTATTTCTTTAAAAAAGAAGATTTGAGAACTCAACAGATTTGCTTTATTCCTATTTCTAAAAATACCCTATGTAAGCAATGCTAGATGCATTCACTTCCTTTATTGTGTGTAGCATTGCTTTTAGAGAAAATGACACTGAGGATTAAAGGACCCATTTAGAAATTGGCTCCAAACAGTGCTGCTTCCAGAGCACTCAGAGCAAGTGGTAGGCAAGTGTGGACAGGTCCTTCTGCTCTGTCCTGTGTGTGTGAAGCTTGTGAAGAGGGAGTTGAGCCCATGGAGATGTAACAGAAGTGTGCAAGTCTCAGGAGCTCGGGGGAACTGGTTCTGTCTGCATCTTGCTCACTTGTGTTGTGAGCAGAGGTGACTGGAGAGGGCAGCTGTGCCCCCACAGCTGGAAGGGGTTGGAAGCTCCGGGACCACTGGCACATGGATGTGTGGCTTTCACGCTGCTCCACGGCCACGTCAGGGCTCGGCTGCCTCTGCAGAGCTCGCAGACGTTTGCAGGGATGTTGCCTCTAGGATCACTTGGTGCCTGGCATCTCTTAAAAGGTTTTGGCAGGCTTCATTATGGACAGGGGAGTAGGTTTTGGACAGGCCTCCAAAGCTGACTGGCCTGTTGATTTCAGAGGAATATCAGCAAGCCAGGTGGACATCTTCCATCCTCTCCTACAGCTATGGTGACACTAGGCAAATTGCCTTTTACAAATATATAATTATTCATATGCTTTGACTGTAGCTCTGACCCTCATGGGTCTGGCTTTGTGTCAAAAATTATAAGTAACCATCATTTCAAGGTCATCAAGGAAAATATTGTATTACGATTAGGTTTTTTTTTCTTTTTGTCAGAATATATTGATGACTTTTAACTGCTGTAATTATCGTTCATGTGCACTATTCTTTACAGATAATTGGTACTCAGAAACCCTCCATTCATGCAGTTTTGTTCTCACAACTATTTGATTTTTCATTTTCTGTAAATAATGGCAGCTGTGCTCTTCCCTGGAGACTGAATTGCTGAAGGTTGACTTTTCCGATACACTGTTTTCCATTACTGCAGAGGAATAGCAAAGAGAAATGTCACTAAGACAATCTGATGCCAGCATGGATCCTGAGCTCAGTAGTGGATCACTTCTGTTCCTGGCATGGTCACCAGCTCTTAGCTCCATGTTTCAGAAGCAGAGCTGGAGACAAGCCCCAGTGCTGAGTGGGAGGAAGAGGAGGGGGTGTATTGCCCTTTCTATCCACCTTTGGATGAGGTTTTGCATCCACTCCTGAGCTGCAAGGAGAATGGAGGGGCAAGTCTCCCCCTAAGCCCCACTGCTCCGGGAATTATTTCTCTCTCTCAAACTGTGAGCTCCAAATATTTCAAATGTCCTGGGTCAAGTGACCTCTAAAATTATTACATTGATTTTTAAAACTACAGGGCTTTCTGAAAAAAATGCTTTAAACTGTTTGTATCTGGCGTTGTTTTTTTGCATAGTCAGTATTCATTGGGTTAAGTCATGTCTGTTCTCACAATTACTTGTGAGAGGAAGTTTTCCTTGCTCAGAACTTTCCAGGCACAAAAACTTTTCCAAGTTCAAAACTTTCACATAATCCTAGCACTCTTGAGGCATAGGAATTGAAAGATTTCCATTAGCAATATGTAAAGGATTAAAATTAAAACTTTCAGCTTTAGTATTTTGTATCAAAATCTTGCCCATGACCTTGTCAGCTGTGACATGGGTCCGACCACATGGAGCAGAGTTACTGCTCCACATGCAGAAGAAAACTGAAAGGATATCCTTTGTCTGGATCCATAAAATTTATCTCTGGAAGCCAGATTATACGTTCCTGTGAAAAGTCCCAATTTTGTTGGGAAATGCCTGGTCATTTCAAGGAATAATACAAATTCCTAGTCCTTCCCTGTATTTTTTCTAGTGCTCTTGCAAACAGCCAGCTGAGCATTAATTTGTTTTCTTGCAGACAACAAGGAATATGATGCATATCTTTCATACACCAAAGTGGATCCCGATGCGTTAGATCGTGACACTAATGAAGAGGAGCAGTTTGCACTTGAAATTCTGCCAGATGTTCTGGAAAAGCACTATGGATACAAACTCTTCATTCCGGATAGGGACCTGATCCCTAGTGGAAGTAAGTATTTCTGACCTTTGTTTTGTTTCTCTCTGATGTGTCACAAAGGCCTGGACTGGGTGAAAGTCACTAGAGGAAAACCTCTCTTTGGGAAGTGGTTGCAAGGATTAGAAAAGTTTCCTTAGCACTGCAAATTCGAGCTCTATGTTAGAGCTTGTTTGTGCATTGCTGAAATCAATGGAACTGCCATTGATTTCAGTGGTGGAGGAAGGAGCTGGACCTTCCTACAGGGAAGGCTGCAGCTCTTCAAGCAATACGGAGTCCAAAATGTCTATATCAGACACAGGTAACTAAGCAGGAAACTTCCTAAAAAGATTTTGTAGTCTCTGGTATATATTGAAAATGGGATTATTATTTTTTTTCAGTGATTATTTGTTTGTCTACAGCAGCTTTACAAGTAAAAGTAATCTTTTCCATTATCTTTCTGGGTTTTTCCCTAACTTGGAAGTCTCATAAAGTGCTACAATAGTTTCCCAGTTAATGGTAAGGGTACAATTGGAGTTTTAACTGTGTTGAATTTCTGAGCAGTGTGAGCATTGTGTAAGTCATTGATATTGTGTAAGTAGTATTCATTATTCAGAGGACTATGTACAGCCCCATGAGCCAATACTATTTTCAATGCTGACAATGAAATACAGTTGTGCATTTCAAATCAGTTTTGCTACCATGTCTGAAGATGCAGCACCACCTTTGGATGTCTGTACCAACAGTTAATGCTTTCCTAGTGGTAGTTATGGCATTTTTTCTACCAGGTTCATTTTCGAGCAAGTCAAAAAGACCATGAATCATATGCATGATGTTGATGAATTTTGAGTGCAGGGTATGTTTACTGCAATACCACATTTATTTGAAATGCTACCCTTGTGGAAAAAAATCAGCATTTTTTACTACAAATTCCGTTTCCAAATCACTTCCATAAAAAAATAGTAAAAGAGAAAATGAACTTCTCTCTGTATGTGCTACTGTATAGAAAATATGAACAAGAGAACAAAGCAATGGCTGTACTGGAACAGATGTCCCCAAACATGAAACAGCTCGAACATAGCTGCGTTAGCAACCTGCCTGCCAAAAACCTGAAACTGCCGCCTTGCTGCTGCCAAACCCCAGTGCCTGCCCCAGAAGTTAGAGCCTGTTTCTTCTTTGACATTTGAGAGAGCTGGAAGCAGAGCTCTGAATCCTGTACCACTGGGAAAGAGGGGTCAGAGCCCAGCCAGAGATCATGCAAAGTCCTGCGTAGAGGCTTGAATCGATCATGTGTGTTTGCAGCTCCTAGTTTAGAGCTGATTCCCTTTTTCTTTCTGCCCCTGCAAGGTGTGAGTTTTTCTCCCTTAGTGAGAAATTCCAGAAGGGGGACTTGGCCCATAGCCTTCTTATTTCTGACAGTACAAGCAAATAATACCAAATTTTTAGATATTATTAAGAGAAAATACACTTCTTTCACAGAATTGCTGTAACTAGTTGTTTGATATCCAGCAATATAGCAGAGTTATACATAGCAATTATGCAAGTGAATTAAAGAATTTAAAGTTAACCCTTCAGTAACTATACTGAAGCACAAATTAATCCAAAATGAGATTCTTTTTCCCAATTGTTGTACCAGCCAACATGGTATTTTATTTTTGTCTATTTTTGTCAGTCAGGCACTCAGCAAATACTTGTCATCACTTTGGGTATTCATTAAACCTCTCTTGAAAATGTAGGGTACCTGAAAATGTCAGTTCTCATTTATGAACATTCACAGATTTAATCCCTCTTTTTTCCTCTCAAACTCACTTCTTCAGTATTATGAAAAGGCCTGATTCTAACACATGGAGCTTCAAGAACGCTTAATCAGACATAATGACAATGCAGAATAAAATGTGCCACTGAAATGAGTGTGATTTGCATGCTTTAGCTTTGAAAAAGATATGAGAGAAGGCACTTTATTTTAAGTGGGGCTAGAGGGAGGGAGAGGGGATGGGGAAGGAAGGAAGACTCGGCCTCCTGTATTTGTAAGCTTTCCGTGTGCTCTGGAGAAGTGGAATGTGGCTGTGTCCTGCCTAGTGCTCACCAGTCTCACAAGGACTTGCAGTGCTTAGTGAAGGCAGTGTGATGTAGAATGGGCCTGCTAGAAGCTTCTGAGGTAAACATAACATATTTTAGAGTGACTGTCTCAAAAATTGGCAGATATGACAAAATATATAGCTCTCCAGGGTAGACTTCTATAGAAAAATTGAGGGTTGATCACAGGTATTTTTTTTATTTTAGGAAATATCTCTTCTCACATGTGCTGCATTTCCTCATCTTTCGGTGTAAATTACTTTCAATCAATGTAATACTTTCCTACTTTGTTCTGATGTGTTTCCTTCTATATCCTGTGCGCCTCAGCGTGTGCCACTCCACTAGTGCAGCACATGAGCTGTGTTCTGTAGGACTGTTCCTACAGTCTCTGCAGTTGTGAGGTGCTGCCACAGGAGGGTGTGAACCATTGCTCTTCCTTCCTGGCATGCAGCAGTACTGACAGCTGCTCCTTGGATTTGAGAGCGAGCAAAAAATAGATTTGTTAAATAGTATTTCATTAATTTTCTTGCACAGTTCTCTGAACAACCTAAAAAGCTGACTCCGGAAAAATTCAGGGACAACTTTGATTATGTTTTTGTCCAGCTGGCTCATCACTAACCTCTGGGGAAAAGCTGTGATGGGCTCTGCATGTCCCTGTGCAGCCAAGGGGGAGATTACCGCCAGATGTGCTTTAGCTGGGATGCACCCAGCAGCCACCTCCTTCACAGTGCATGTCTGAGCTCTGCATGGCACCTCTGTGCTGAGAACCCTCTGTTTCAGGGATGTCCATGGAGCAACTGCTGCTGTCCCTGGGAGGACAGAGGTGATGGCTGTGGGGACTCAGGCCACCTCTTCACCATTGGGAAGCAGATCCCTGGCATCCAGGGCTCAGGTCAAATGGGGCTGAGTCACGTTTTGCAGTAGGTGTTGGTTTCTAAGCCCTGCCGGGATACAAATCTTATCCCAGTGGAGCGTTTTGTCCTAGTGGGAGGGAGAACACCATGAAGGATGCCAAGGGCCTCAGTGGTGCCCATCACAACATGGCCAGCAAGGACCTTTGAGGTGAATCTTGGTGCTGCCTGAGAGCAGCGTGGATGGACCCGGCTCCCCGGACTGGTGAGGTGGAAAAGGGGCTAAAGCAGCCACTGCTCCTCTGCTCTGGCTCCTGCAGAATCCCACACAGCCATGCTGGCTGGGAGGTGAAAGGGGTGACCCAGCAGGGAGATGTGACATGTAGAGTGCTGTGTAAGCAGTGAGACGAAGTTTATAACCTAGGAATTGAGTTGCATATTCTGGGAAGTACTATAGCAGCTATTTGTTCACAAAGAATATTCTTTGGTCTTATCAGAGTGAGTGTTCTGCATTCTGTCGAAGCTGACAGCACATACACCTTTCTGCCTGGGCAACTTAGGCATAATTGGATATGTTAACCTGTGTAAGGAGACTGTGATCCCTGAGATGCACTTGCAGTTGTTATGGAAGTTTTTTAGCAGTTCTCATTATTTTCACCCTATTAGTTTTCAGGGCTTTTTAAACAAACCCTTTCCCACAGCAAATACTCTCAAGCCCTGTGAGTTTTTTAATTCAGTGTTAGGAGACCTGAGGAGACTGAATAGTTGGGGGTGGGGGGCAGGGGTGTGTAACAGCAATAGTTACATTTTCACCTGAGCCATTTTCTGTCTGCTAAGGATGATGTGTCTGCAGAGAAAAACATCTATTTGTCCTTCACTCCTCTAAAATTAGGACTACTCAGAAGAAGATATTTTTCTCCATGGTTTCTGCAAATTATTTTAAACCCTGAAAGTGAAGAGGTCAGAATTGTCAAGTTTGATTTTTAATACCAGCAATACAAATCTATTAGAGCATCATCTAGGTGCTCTCTAAGCATATGTACATTTGGTCTTGACAGGATTGAAAAAACCACAAACAATTCACCCCAGCTCAGCCCAGGGTAAACAGATCAGGCAGTGCAAAGAACTACAGTGATAATCTTTGCTTTACCTGAAAAATGAGAAGTTCTCAGCAAAACAGGAGAGTGCCTAAGACGTGATAAAAAGCACACAACAGTCAGTATTTCAGTTCTGGCACTTTGTAGTTTTGTCTGCCTGTCTGTGTGGTGTTTGCCCAGTGAATTCCAGCTTCCTGGGCTCCTGGATGAACAAAACCAGTAGAACCATATGTCTGGAGTTCCCAAGGAGCCTTTATTAGGTATGGGATGCCATTTCTTTGGAACAGGAACAACTCCTTTCTGAAGTCCCTGGTTGTCTGCTCTGTATGAATCTTAAACTTAATGCCAGGCATGGGTGAGGGTACCAGGGATAGAGAGGGATAACAGCTGAAAAAGGAAGAAATGTGAGCAAAAGCCAGAAGGGCTGGCTATCCTGTAACAGCCCACTGAAGGCCACCAAGGTGGTCAGGGAGCTGGAGCATACAGTATAAGAGGAGAGCCCAAAAGAAAAGGCCAACAAAGACAAAGCTAAGGACGGATCTGACTGTTATTTTTCCAGTGGACAGCACAAAGGTGAAGGCAGCTTCTTCTCAGAGGAGCACAGTTCTTGAACAAGAGGTCATAGGTATGAGTTGCGACACTGGAAATTCCATTTAAACATCTGAAAAGTTTACTCACCATGGAGGTGGACAGAAACTGAAACAACCCAGAGACATCGAGAAACCTCCAATCTTGGAGGTCTTCAAAACATATTGGACAATGTCCTGAGCAATACCCTTCAGGCAGGATATTGAACTGGAGACCTCCAGGGCCCCCTTCTAACCTGCATCAGTCTATGAATCTTTGATTATAAATATGCAGAATTTTGTTTCAGCCATCTATTGCCAAGACAATTTTACCAACATTGCCCACTTCAGATATTTCAGTCCGCAAGGAGACATTCCCAGAACTTCCATATTTTCTATTTTCCTTCTTCCTTAATCCCTCCTTCCTTTATCATGTCAAATACAGAAAGTCTGATGATGGCAAGGGGAGGAATATGCTGAGAGGGCAGTGTGTCACACTGATGTGCAGTATTTGTTTGTTTATGTTGAACTCATCAGCTCTCCCTTAGCTTATACAGGGATTGGGCTCTCTCAGGAGGGGCCATTACTCTGCTCTGTGTTTCAGCAGTTCCAACTGCATTGCTGTTCTGGTCTGAGCTAACAGAAGCAAAACATATTTAATAAATAGGAAAGCAATACATGCAGTTATTTGTATTATAATAAAGTGGTCAGATTTAGGGTTTGGGAACTATTCAGTTAGGAAGCCAGGACTGAATTGCTCTTCTATAAATAACTTCCTCAAGTGATGGTCACATTGCCAAACACAGAAAGGCTGGTTATTTTCAGACTGCCAGGAACCAGCCAGCAGGGGGTTGATGGTAGATACTCTTTGGTTCTCGTGGTGCTGGTGTTTCCCAAAAATATCCGTAGGACTTGATATGATTTCTAGTGTTTTTTCTTTCTCCCTCAACTGCTTCTGCAAATCACCTAAATCTGGTTAGTCAGTCATTTCTTTGTGTAAGCAAATGGTGTTCATTAATTTCCTTGCTCTTAGTCTGCTTGCATATTACATTTCCTTCCAGCTTGTGGTTAATGTAGCTCATTCAAGGTTCCATAGGCAGTTATGCATGATTTAATTGCAAATGGGATGCATCGCTTGGAATTCTCTTCTTCAGTGCTTCAGACTACAGTTCAGCATTACTACATGTTGATGGTGTTTGGTGAGCACATTTGATGTCAGGTGATCTGTCTTCATTACTCATGGACAACCATGCAAAAACATTGTTTGGTTTGGGGTATAACATTTCTTGCTGTCCATGCCTCCTTGGGCGTTGCACTGAACATGATGCAAGTAAGTTACTGATACAGTCACTCACAATTTTAAGTTTTTGACCTATGGGATTTGCTTACATTTTGAGAACAGTTTTGTACCATATTGCAAAATGATGTTTAAAGGAGGGGGGAAAAGGGCCAAAATTTAAAATGTTCTTTTTCAATGAAATCCAAGTGGATAATTCTAATGCTGACATCTTATTTTTACATCCTAGTTTATAATAAAAACACAGTCTTTGGGAATTAAAAGCGAGTAATCCCATACTGATTTTGTCAAGACAACTTTTTCTCCCCTCACAATGAAATGTCATTGAAGTTGACACCTCCTCAGCAAAAGTGAAGTTACAGCAAAGTTATATTTATCTGATGTAAATATGTTGCTCTGGAATCTTATAGTTGATCCTAGTTGGTGATGTCATTGCTGAAGTCCCTGTTCAGGTTTTTTTTTTGTAAGTGAAACAGAACCATTGCCTGACAACTACTTCTTAGCTCACTGGAAAGGTGAAAGCAACCCTTTCTCCATCCCACACTGCAACAGAGATTGCTTGGATTTAATACCTTCTCATGGACTTCACTTGAGACAGACAACTGAAACTGCTGTATTTTGGGAAGTCTCAAATTCTGAAGTGAAATGAGAGCGGGTGATTTAGCAACTCATAGGTTTATGCAGTCAGACTTGTACCACTGGAAAATACCGAGCTGGAATTTCCACAGACAGGAACCTGTCTTCCTGTGCTTTTCTTCACAGAAATGTTCAAGTTGTGCACATTGGACATATTGTAGAGTGCACCTGATGGAACCACATACTCCAGGAAATTTGTCACCAACCTTCAGTAGTAATCCCAAGCTGAAGTTATTGGGAGTACTGAGTACTTCTGGACCAGATGGCTGGAAAGGTGACTTTCCAGTTTCCTATTCGGTGTGCTTTATCCTCAGTGCACCAACAGGCCCCCTGTTCACTGGCCAAGTCCATGGAGCTATAACAGCTCCAAATGTGGAATTTGAGAGATCACCTCATGGTCATTTGGGAAGGTGTCTGTTAGTTAGCTGAGGACAGAGCTCTAACCTGTTGCAATATCCAGTAAGAAAGGTGGGCATGCCAAAATGTGGGAGAGGCACCAAGGGAAGAAATGTCCGTCTGTTGTCTTCCCACCTCTTTCCCTGATTGACTAAAGCAAAGTCTGATGAGTTTTTGACTGCAATGGTATTATGGATTATTGCCATTGAAATGATTGCCACTGGATATTTGAAGAGATGAAAGTGGACTGATTTCTGTTTATGTTGTTGGTTTGTGTTTGTTGGATGCATATTGAATATGCGTGGCCGTGCTTGGCACTAACCTGGACATGTGGTATTGCCCAGTGTTGTGTCCTGCAGAGAACTGTCTTGTATAAAGCAGTGTCTGAGTTGTTTGAAGGAGGGATGAATATGTCTCAGGAAAGATGCATGATAGTTTGTTGTTTTACTGTATCTTGCAGATTCAACCTCTAATGATGAAGCTTCCCACCTAAATTCTTTCTTTTTGGGAGCAGAAAGAAAGGAAGAAAATGAAGAGTCTGAGCTGTTGATACATTGGGATAATCTCTTTCCATTGTATTGAACATTTCTACCTTTCCTTAAGTTTTGTTTCACCAGTTCTGCTTATCATTTTCTCTTTGTTGCCGATTCTCTCCCCTCTCTGCTGCCTCTCCCATGGATTTTAATGTTGAATTTTTTTCATTAATGAGTAACTATTTTACACAGAACAATGTGGGGGTTTTCCTCATAAAATATTTCAAGGAAAAAAAACAAAATGTAAATGCTGCATGATTAAAGAGTCATAAACCATTAACTAAAAGTCAGGATTGTTGCATAGACATTTGTAATGTATGTGTATGTCTTAAATTTTTGTGTGTCTGTGGGATGTTTGCAATTGCCTCTTTTTTCCATTTGTGAAAGAAATTCTTCTTGCTGCTAAGTGGTGAAATAAAACATTGGTAAAGGCAGATTTGATGCTAACTATGCCTTCAGTCTCATGAAAATAAGCTATTTTAGAATGTTACTGTTGGCCTATTTTGTAGCTATTTGCTTTACTGGAAGTGGTGTGAACAAGCATGCTGTGGTATGGTGCCTGGGACTATAAAAATGAGTCTTGCAGTAACAGATGTTGATTAATGATGTTATTTGTAATTATTGTTCCTGCTAGAGGGCAGGTGTGTAAAGAGAGGCCCTGCCCTGTGCTGAGTAAAGATCTGTTCTGTGCAGCTCTTGTGTCCAAGTCTTCATTTATAACACGTGCTTTCCTCTGTTGTCAGGTGGCACATCCTCAGTAGCATGGTCAAAGAGGTTCATGTAGTTTAAAAACACAAAAAGATATCCTGTGTCGAGTGCTATGCAATCTATGAACACTCTTCTGCCCTTAGTGGGTTTTTTTTAAGTGATTTCATTTTTCCGGTCTTGACCCAAAACCCATTGAAATTTGCTGAAGTCTGTTCATTTGAATGGGTTTTGGATCAGGTCTGTAAGTAGATCTCTTTCCCATCCTGTTCCATGTCAGACCAGCGTAATTGGCTTCTCTTCCCTACCATCCCTGGGATGAGCGAAACTCAGGGAGCCAAGTCCAACTTCAAGGATATTTTGTAGTTCCATAAGCTGGCATCATGGAGCTGATGATGGGCTGGCATTTCTGCTTACACTGATCAATTGCAACTCCTTGGCATGCATGAATAAAAGAATTCTACTATTTTCTTTGTCACTGATGTCTCAACAAATAAATACCTCCAATATGTTTAAATTTTCCATTTGTTCCTGTCACTTGTGAAGTTTCTGTTAATACCTTGGGGCACATAGAAGCACAGGTTCCTGATATTAAAACAGACCATTGGGCTACAAAGAATGTTCTTGGGCTTTGTGGTCAATACCTAAAGAAGAAAGAGCTACCATGATGCTTCTATGCAATAAGCACAAGTTCTGCATGTGATGAGGGTTCATTTCTTTTTGAGCACTTGCAAGTTACGGTTCGTACACCCTGCGGCACCCTCATGTCCTTGCATCTGAAACACGAGAACTGCTTCCCAGAGTGTGCTTCCCTCAACACAGTGTTGATCATAACCAATGTTAATGTTAAAATTTACACAAACATTACATTGATCTTGACCTGTATTCTTTTCACTGAGTGAACTGTGTGTTTTTAGTCACTAATGCATCTACACAGCGAGGATGTTTTGTAAATGTCGTTCTGCTGCAGCGAACAGGGAAAAATAGCAAAGGGAGGAGGGTATTATTAAGGAGTTTTTTATGTGTACTCCATAAATAGAACTATGTTGTGATACACAATCCTATTTTTGTTGGAGTATATTGAAATGCCCATTGTCTTAAACAGTGTGGATCAGTAAGCTGTAGGATTTTGTTATACTTGATTGCAAGCCTAATGTTTTGATACAATAGACTTCTTTATTCTTTACTCTTTCTCTCTTTCTATAATTTGTAGCCTACATTGAAGATCTCACAAGATGTGTTGAGCAAAGCAGAAGACTCATTATCGTGTTAACTCCAGACTATGTTCTCAGGAGAGGATGGAGTATTTTTGAGATGGAAAACAGACTCCATAACATGCTAGTCAGTGGCGAAATCAAAGTTATTTTGATTGAGTGTACTGAATTAAAAGGGAAAGTGAATTATCATGAAGTGGAATCTTTAAAGCACACCATCAAACTTCTCTCGGTGGTCAAGTGGAAAGGACCAAAAAGCAGCAAACTGAATTCTAAGTTTTGGAAGCGCCTAGTCTTTGAAATGCCAGGGAAGAAAAAGGAGGTGGTGTCACGGCATCAGGTCCTGGATTCTGCAGAGCAGGGCCTTTTTGGAGACCTTCAGACTATCCCCTCTGTTGCTGTCACAGGCACTTCTGCCACGTTGGTGGAATCACGGGCTGATTTAACTGACTACCACCAAGCAGACTCTGTGCACATGAGACATTACTGCCGAGGATACGAGTACGACGTGTCAGCAGCGACACTGCCAATCGCTTCCATAAGCAACCACCACACGTACTGTAACATTCCTCTGACACTCCTGAACGGACAGCTACCTCTCAACAACACCGTGAAGGACCCCCAGGAGTTTCACAGGAACAACCCACTGCTACCTTTATCAGCCAAGGAGCTTAGCTTCACCAGTGATATCTGGTAGTGGACATCAGGACTCTTTCGAGATGCTTCATGACCGCCATGAAGACACATTTTTAAAGAACTTTGCCCTAACCCCATGGGGTGAGAAAACATATTCGAAGCAGCAGCACACTTGTTTGCTTTTCTACTTGAACTTTTTTGTTTACATTTACAAATTGTTGACAAAGGGGGCATTCTTTTTGTAACTCAGTAATGTCCTTCCTGTCTTTTAATGTACAGTTTTATTGCTTCTTTAGAAAGGAGGGGGGAGAGAAAAAACGCACCCCATCATTTTACAGTAGGTTTACAATCTGGGATGGGTAAAAGGTCACTGTATATGGTCTCCAACATCCATACATATTTAAGTAACAGTATTTGAAATACACAGAAGTTGTCGGGTTTTTCATATGGACTACAGTACACTTTGAAATTCTAATCATGCTACAAAAAATTATTATCTCCTGCACAGACCACAAGGGGTGAATCATCCTGAAAAGGAAGGAGGAGGAAACCTTCCCGGTAACATTGTCTCACAAATACTTTTTAGTAAGATGACCAGCTGAAACAATGCAGATGAAGCTTTATCAATAAAGTGCATAGTAACAGTTACTGCAGAATAAATCACCTGCTCCCATCAGCATCTCTTCATTTTATTATTGAGGCATGTTGTATTCCTAGTCAATGGTTAGCAATGTGGTTTTACTAAACAACTTACTAGAATATCGGAAGATGTTTAGGAGGATTTTAAACATTTTTTTCTGTCAATTATAGATTATTTCACAACTTTTTGCAGATTTATAATGACTTTTTCCAAACAATTTAAGTAGAAATTTATCTGTCTATTGGTCTATTCATTAATTTGAAATTTCTTATGATCTCGAGCCCCATTAAGATTTGTAGAAAAGGCAATGTAATTTTACATAGGATTTTTTTTCCAAAATCAGTAGTTACAATTTGAAATTAACCTTTTTGTGAGAACATCAGCAATAGAAAATAATTACTACAGCAATATTCAGAGATGAAGTGCTAAATTATTCAGGTTTACTGGTAAATCTGACTTCAGTTGCAGTGATAATCACCTGAGACAGTTTTCTCTCTTGTCTATCTACCTGTCAGTTTATGTAACTTTTAAATATGGCAAAAGCAGGAATATTTCTGCTGTCTGTGCAACTAGTGAAAAGTGATGTTTTTAAGCAGCTGTTAAGGTCTTGCATTTCTCACTTATGTGAGTGATCCCATCAGTCAAATAGGATACTGTCATTTATCTTTCATGTAAGGCATTCCTGCTGCTGATGGATGAGAAGTGTTATACAGGTACTCTGCATCAGGCATTGCTGCTCAGTGAGTACCAGTGAGATTTCCATACTCAGTTGATTAAGAGTTGCAGAGTGGAGTATTTAAGGAAAAAAGCCCTAAATAATGAAGGCAGAAGCCAGTTTTGCAGGTTTTGGCACAGCTCTAATGAAAACACAGTAGACATGAAAGTTTTGTCTCAATGAGATCTGCTGGAGCAAATTCCCAAAAATCTTTTTAGGCAGGCAGCCTTGCCTGTGTTTCAGCATTGTTCTTTAGCATTGTTCTCTTTGATTGCATGAATTAAAGTTAGCACTCTGCACTCAGCTGCCTGTGGTTTCATCAGCAAACAAGTTCAGTAAATCCTTGACATTTTGCAGTGGTTCCTAAATTGTACCCTACAGTCAAATGGAAACAAACACTGACCTAAGACTTAAAAGTCAAAGAATTGGCCCAAAGGCCATGAGAATGATCTCAAATGTGCAATAATTCATAGAGGTCAGTATTTTTCCATTGCTTCTTTCCCCAGTTCTTTATTCTGTGCCCTCCTACACCAGTTATAGTCTGTAAGATTTTCATTAGGTTCTAAATAATAATGTTTCTCTTGTTTTTTCTAGCATTATTATGCATTTGACACTAACACTGAAAATGGAAATCTAGAAAAGATATTAATTTATTACACAGTATAGAAACTATAACTTGCTCTTTTGTGAAGTTAAGTTCCAAACATATAGGTGTTTAATAGATGTATTTTTCTACTGAGAAAGAAAGCGATTTTACCTCCATTATAAATATATGGATTTCAACCTCCTCCCAAAAATTTACAAAATTTGCACTGTTTTATAAGTGTTACAGACTGTGTTTACACTGGCTATGTTCTTTAATGCAAAGTGTAATTAAAAAAAAAAAAAAAGGAAAAAAATTCCTAAAAGCAAACCCTGCATGAAAAGAGCTGCATATGTTTAAATGAAAAGCTGTACTTTTCATTATTTTCCTTCCCACATTACTCTAGAATCTGGTTAATTCACATAGAATGTTCAGTGAGATTTTAAATCCGCTAGTTCTGTATTAAGCATGCAAACTCCAAAAAAAAAAAAAAAAGAAAAGAAAAAACATATGCAGGTTGGTCTGCTTCTTTTATTTACAAGGACTAAATATGGGTAACAAATTCATTCACCCAATGGTAATATGTCTCTTAGAGCAGTAGTTATTCCAAAGCAAAATGCAGTCATGTTTGCATTGAGGAAACATGAAAAGAACAGTTTTTCTGTCATTTTGCAAAAGCACATTGAGTGTCTATGTATTGATATTTTTTTAGTTATAGATGCCAAGTCACAATCTGCTTTAAGATTTCTGAGTGTGTATTGAGTACTACGACAATATATACATGAATTGGAACTGCCTGTACCCCTCTGCTTCTAGTGTGGGGATGGGGAGCTGAGCTCAGGAGGCCTCTCATGGACTCAGTTTCATGTAATACCAGTATGGAATCATGGAATTGTTTAGGTTGGAAAACACCTCTAAGATGATTGGGTCTAACCGTTAACCCCGCGCTGCCAAGCCTGTCACTAAACCATGTCCCTGAGTGCCACATCTACATGTCTTTTGTGTATCTCCAGGGATGGTGATTCCACCACTGCCCTGGGCAGCCTCTTCCAGTGCTTGACAACCCTTTCAGTGAATAAATTTTCCGTAATCCAATCTAAACCTCCCCTGGCACAACTTGAGGCCATTCCCTCTTGTCCTGCCACTTGTTACTTAGGAGAAGAGACCAACCCCCACCTGGCTACCACCTTCTTTCAGGTAGTTGTAGAGAGTGATAAGGTCACCCCTGAGGCCCCTTTTCTCCAGCCTGACACCCCCAGCTCCCTCAGCCTCTTCTAATCACACTTGTGCTCCAGACCCTTCTCTTGCCCTTCTCTGGACATGTTCCAGCACCTCTATGACATGCAAGAGGCCACATGCTTCCATAGGTAGCACTTAAGGGTCTGGAAAAATACAGTCAAACGCTGAAATGCATCCATCTGTGGGATTTGAGTGGCACAGGAGTTTGTCCCACTGTGAAAACCACCACCATAATAGCAGCCCTCCAGCGGGATCCCTCATGGCAGGAGTAGCAGCTGGATCAGGGCCTTGGTGGCAAGAATGTGAACTTCATTAGCTGAAATAGAAGGGCATATGGGCATTTTGCATTCCTCTGTCTCACCAAAGCCATGGGGGCTTTATCAGCTGGATTTATCAGGGAAGAGGCCAGGGCACTACCCTGACTGTGCTTGGTGCTGCATCTTGCTTGGGTGACTCTGCAGCCCTGCCACCCCCAACTTGTCAGGCTGTGCCTTCCCCGGTGACAAAATCACCAGCAGCAAACATCCTTATTGCAACCACAGGGACTTCTGATTTGGGGCACACTCATTTTAAATATGATTTATTGTAATGTTTGGAAGCTACTGTTTGTATACTTACCTTTATGTGTGATGTACTTCAGAGGCAATTGTGGTTTAAAGGTTGTCTATAAAAAGAGCTAGAAATTGGAAACCTATTCAGCTGCTGCAGATTTTATGTTCCTAAAGTAAGTTCAGCAAGAAAACAGGGTAATTTTAAATTAACTAACAAAGTACAGTGAATATTGACAGTTCTTGGGAGCTGTGTGCTTGGCTGGTATTTTAATAACATTCCTTTCTCTAGACAGCGGATGAGAAAAATATATAAAGGTATTGCCATACTCTTGCCGCCAGGTCTGCTCCAAAACCCATTCAAGCCAATAGAAAGAGTTCCATCAAATTCAGCAGACTTTGGATAAGGCCATAAACCTTATATTTACTATGTACAGAGGAATACAAAAGACAAAAGGGAGAGAAAGAAGTCAAAAGACTAAGGAGCATTTGCTTATTTATTCTGTCTAAAATCAAGCTTATTTTTGTCCCTGTTTGGTGTGGATATGCTCCAGAACCATCCAGCCTTGGGAAAGGAATTTTGTTCATTCTTTGTTATAAACAAGATAAGGACTTGGGAATAAATAACAGATACTTTTGCAGGGAAAAAAGAAATCATTATTTTTAAGGGCTTCTGCTCTCAGTAGTTCCTTTGATTCAACAGGCTTTCTCTGTTCATCCAAATGCATAAGCACATACTTAAATTCCCCTTAATTCAGTGAGAAATACTTTACTGAGCAGGGGCCTGGAAGGGCAGTTCAGTGCCAGAAATCACAGCATTCAGCAGCCTTTAGAATTGTGCCCTTATGGAATGCTCTGAGCAGCTTTTTCCAGTGTCCATCTCTGAACGGACACTGAGAGTTGAGCTTTATGGCAGAGCAGCTGTCAGGTCTCACAGGCCTGGTCACAGGAGAGGAAGTCTCCAATGCATGTTAGCCCTGGCAGAGACACTGCCCTGGGAACTGTGTCACAGATGGGAGAACAGTGGAGGTTTTGCATTGTCTCCCAGTTGGGCAACTGGGAGCTTATCCCATGGGACAGCTTGGTTAGAAATACTGTCTGCAAGAGACCTCTACCTCCATGCAGCATTTTGTCCATCCCCTCTTGTGCACCCTTTGTGCAGCCCCAGTAACTTTGCTGGGGGCTGCAAAGTTACTGGGACACTAAGAAATAAGTGGGCAGTGTGAAGAAGAGAGGGGAAGAAGAGAGTAGAGTCCAAGGGTTTTCCAGGCAGAAACACTGATTGACTACAGGACAATGGCAGCTCTTGCATGAATGCATCATGTTAGCCCAGTACTCAGTGGATGCTGTGCAAAGTTCCTCAGAAAAATGTCATTTCTTAACATCAGTTCTGCAGCTCTTGCAACACATCACTGCTGGGTGCTGTATCAGTTTGCTGTCCCCGGGGGTCTGACAGAGCAATCACAGCCAGAGCCTGATTGTCCAAAGCAGTTAAGCCACACAGGAGCCAGATCTTATCAAAAGTCCACAGGAATTAGTCCTGATCCTCAGTTTTTGTAATACCAACATCGGTTAGTTAGGACTGTGAGAAGTGATGACTGCTGTGAGCAGTGGAGCTGGAAGATCCACACCAAGGTGTCAGGGAGCCAATGGGTCTGAAGGAAAATGGGTACCTGACCTGTAATATTCATTTAAAATAATCAATATTGGTCTGTTTGTTTATAAAATAATGAAAACTACAGAAAAGTACCTTCCTCCATGGTCTTGGAAGCATTGAAGCTTTTGAAATTTCATAAATAACAGTGATTAAAACAGTTCCATTTTGGCACTAGTTTACCCAGCAAATGTTAAAAATATGGCACTTTGGAATACTTTGTTACAGGAAGAAAGCAGAATTTGAAAATAGAAAGTAATGGCACATCATATTCCTGCAAACACAAAGAACAGAGTTCTGAAAAGTAATTTGCTTCCCCAAAGAAAGGACCTGCAGCATTTGTGATGGTAAGCTTTGCAGTGCTTACCACAGGAAGCCATTTGATCACTTCAGTGCCACTGGAGAAATTCAGAGGTTAATAAGGCTGCTCCAAAGAGGTATAAAACAATGTCTCAAAAAAGGAAATGCAAAGTAAATGTTACCAAGCTTTGCCAGGATATTTGTCATATAAATATAAAACATCAGCACTGCCAGCAGAAGCATAACATGGCCTATCAGCATTTTCTCTTCTTTGCAATACCATTGTAAAGCTACAGACCAAGCAGTAAAGCAAATAAATAACAATAATAAAAATACAGTTTGTCAAGCTGAGCCAGATTCTCACGGTAGGTATTCTATAAACAACTCCTCTAATTCATTTTGATGGAGTGTAATTGGCTTTACAAGGTTTTAAGAGCTTTCTTCTCTTCAGGACAAACACAAAGACAAAACAATGTACTTCATTTTAGATGGGTTTTGCAAATTTCTATGACTGTAAAATAATTCCTTCATACACAGCAGTGGGTGGTAAATGTTTTCCTGGCTGCAAGTATCCATTGTGGGTATTCAGAGTGGTTTATTGGAGTGAGAACACCAACAGCTACTGCCGAGCCCAGCAGAGCTGGTAGACCAACAGGGGCAGTTGGGTATCCAACGTGCTCAGCATCACTGGGTGGGCTCAAATATTTGGCTGGGCAATACCTAGAGAATAGAGCACAAGTTCAGGCTGTGCTCATACTGGATAGAGGGATTTGCAAAACCCCGGTGCCCTCTTTTAATGGAGAAATACAGGCAAGCCAAGGTGGGAATGAAAATTGTCAAAGGAAGAATTGTGTGCCTCATTTCTCTCTAAATTCAAATTATTTGGGATTCAGAGCATGCCCTAGGATTTATGATGTGGAGGAGGGAATTAGTGATTCTCATGCAGAGAGTACAAGGGGCTTTGCTTTTACTACCAAGACATATTTTCATGAGAAATCAAGACCCTAACATGGGCTAGACTTCATGTAAATTAGCCTCTTATGAGATGACTCAAGAAGAGAGGGTCTAATGAGATGTGAAGAAGCTTTCAAAGCACAGTATGCTCTGATCAGCTTGTGTATGAGGCTTAAAGGTAACTTCTGTCAGCATCTAAAAGGGAGCATTTAAAACTTAGTCCCCAAATAACATTAGAGACTCCATGTTCTGTGAATTAACATCTCTTCCACAGATTATAACAACCTTTAAAACCCTTAACAGCTCTTTGATTAAAAGATATCAAAGGCTTTATGATCATGAAACAATCAATCTAACACCTAAATCCTCTGGGGAAATATTTTCATCCACCCTTTAGCAAATGAAAAATATGGTTAAGATCCATTTTACCCAAGATCCCACCAAAAACCAAAGGCAGAGCTGAGGCTGTGCCCACAGTGCCCCAGTTTGGAGTTCTGACCAGTAGATAATATTCCCTGGACTGGACTGGTAACTGGATTGCCTCATTCTGACTCTGTGGCTGCACTGTCTCAACCAAAGAAAAAGTTTGCTCCAGCCTGTGTGAACAACCTCTGAGTGTCCCCTGAGTGGGTCACAGTGGGGCTGTTTTGGGGGTACGGCAGAGCTGTCCCAGAGAGAGTCGTGATGCTTCCCTGTGGGATCAGCAGCTCATTGCAGAAACAGGAAAAGACAAGCTAATCATCAGCAGTGAAGTGACTTTGGAAGGACACAGACTGACAGGAAAGCTGTGTGCTGTAGCAAATTATTGGCAAAAGGAGATGGGGGGGGAAAACATTGAACTGACACATAATTTGTACCTAACAACCAGCCTGAACCCGTATCAGAGGTCTGGCTGTTATGCTGCCAAACTCAGGGAAAATCTGAACAAAGTTCAAACTTCATTGCTTTCACCCATCAACATAA